GCGGCTTGAGCGTTCTTGTGCTCGTTCTCGTCATCCTCCTTGGTGGGATCCTCAGGTTTTTGCAAAACATAGCCCTTTTCGACTATTCTCCAAATAGATGGGTTAATAAACTTCAAATGCATCTTCATCTTATGTTTCCAAGCGGCATAGTCCGTGCCGTTGAAGTACGAAGCTTTGCCGCTATAGGTACTCACATAAGAGGTAGATGTGGATGGATAGTCATAAGGAAACGTAGATCCCTTATCACCATCTTTGCCATCCCCCGTTTGGCCCGACATGATCTCTCCAAGCGGTTAAGCCTAATTAGTAGATTAGGCTCTGATACCAATTGAAAGGGTCAATTAGGCCTAGAGGGGGTGAATAGGCTAATTTAAAACTTTATGCGGAAGCTCACACTGAGTTAGGGTCGGAAAGTCTGATCCACAGTCAGACCATCTGAAAATATCAGATAGTCTGATGTTGGATCAGACTGTCTGATCCACTAAAGAAACACAACAAGTAGATCTAGTGCACAAACAGGAGTATAGCGCAAACAGCGACTAGATCTATAGCGGCACAATTAAGCAAAGCTAAAGAAGGGATGAAGAGATATCACCAACAATGAAGTTCACCGAGTTGTTCCCGGAGTTCAAATCCTTGAGGGGATTCTACTCTCCGTTGAGGAGCTCACTAAGAGCGGGGTCTTTGCTAACCCTTTCCTCAAGAGGTTGCACTAAGCACTCCTCCTTCCACTAAGGGGTATCTCTTTCCTTGCGGAGGCGAGATCCGGCCTTCACAAACTTCTCCCGGCCAACCACACGTAGATCGGTGGCTCGGGAGTAACACCTAGCCGTCTAGGAGTCCTCAACCTCCAAGAGTAACAAACACCACACAACTCTTGGTCAAACCCTAGTGCTCAAGATCGAGTGAAACAGACAGTAGGCCCTCAAACACCAAATCCACAACCACCAAGATCCACCACACAAAGAACGAGGAGGGATTTGAGAGAGGGAGAAAGAGCTCAAATATCCAAAGCACCTTAGCACCAAGCTCAACCCAAAGTGAATGTGAATGAATGAGTTGGGTAACCCTAGAAAAGGGTTAGGTGGGGGGTATTTATAGATCCCCCAAAATGTGGCCGTTGGGAGAAAATATTTTCATCCCACCTCGGAAAGTCCGAGGTGACATCGGATAGTCCGATGTTTTTGACCCCCAAGCACGCCAGAGACAGAGAACGAAATTCTGGAGAATTTCGGACAATCCGATCGATCGGATAGTCTGATGTTATATTGGATATTCCGTTATTTTTGAATCATGAATTTCATCCTCTCACAGAGACTCAAGTTCCATTGAATTTCAGAGTCTCTGGGTCATCCGATACTCCGATCACATCGGATAGTCTGATTTGAAAAATCACTCAAGAGGAATAAAAAGCAATTCAAGACAGAGAGTGAAGTTCTGAGAAAGTTCAGACAGTCCGATGTATCGGACAATCCGACCTTATATCGGATTGTCCGATATTTTTTAGCCAACACTCAGACCAAAGACAGAGGGAAAAGTTCTAAGAAATTTCGGATAGTCTGAGCATCGGATAGTCTTATCAGGATCGGATAGTCCGACAGGAATAAAATAGGAACAGTCCAAATAAAGGATTTTGAGCACTAGTGTTCTACCAATTATATGCATGTGGTAGCCCTCTTAATAGTACGGCATCCTAATACTCAAGAACACAAGATATACATGGAATAGAAGATAATTACCACAAAAGATGCCGCAAAGCTTGTAAATTCAAGTTCCACTCCTTTTTATCCTTGCATCCATCTCAACAAAGAGCATTAGTGAACCTCTAATTGTGTTGTTATTAACACCAAAATAAATGAGGGGTCCTAGATGCACTTTCAGGGTGAATAGGCTTTCCTGAAAATCACAAACAAATCGCAGCGGTAAAATTTAACAGGCCCGGAACCTCCTGGTGTAGAACACCGGAATTTCCGGTCTGCTCAGACAATCCGGAACTTCCGGTGTTCTTGTACCGGAACTTCCAGGCAATAGAAAAACCTGGGAAAAACTAACAGGGACTAAAGCTAAAATTCACGAGATGAATCACAGGATAACTGCAGTAGCACAATCACATGCACATGCACAGAAACATCACAGAGTGGACAAAGATGATTTTTTTTCCCGAAGTTCGAATCTTGCAATCCTACTCTCCGTTGAGGTGCTCCAAAGAGCCGGAGCTCGATTAACCCCTTGCCTCACTTGTGCAAAATCCTTAGAGGAAATCCACAGCCTTCAACCCCAACACCTATAGGTTGTTTTCTAGAATTGAGTGACCACCAAGATCCAACTCAACCTCCTTCTAGAAAACACCACAAGTGTGAGTAGCTCTACTAGGAAAACCTCTAGGACTTCAGCACAAGGTTCTTTACTCACTTACCTCATTTTCTTACGGAGGTGAGGAATACCTTCACAAACTTTCCCGGGACATCCACAATTGCAAGGAAGCTCGCGGGCGACACCTAACCGTCTAGGAGAAGATCTCCAAGAGTAATAAGCACCGAGATGACAGCCCACGAGATACCCTAAGTGCTCACACCAATCTTAGCCTTCAAACCTTCTCCAACTCTTCTCCTTCACCCTCAAAATCTCACTCTCTTACAAGAATGGCTCAAGATTGGGTGGAGGAAGCAAAGAAGCTCATGGGAGAGGCTAGCAACAGCTATGGAGTGGAAAAGCAAAACTGAAATGGCCAAAGGGTGAGCTGGGGACGATCTAGATATATATAACGGCTAGGTGACGTCATCTAGCCGTTACTCACATTTTTGAACTGGGAAGGGTCCGGAACTTCCTGACCACTGGAAGTTCCGGACAACACTTAGGAAAAATTTCACCTCTCAAAGGTCCAGAACTTCTGGGTCCAAGGACCGGAACTTTCGGCCAGCCTTCTCTGCCCGAGGAAGGGCTATTTCCAAAAATAGCTCCCAAAAATATTTCAACACTTGAATCTCCCTAAGAGCACTTGTTGTATCCCAGAACCACACCTGGAACCCCTCTTAATAGTACGGTTTTTCCTAAAACTCGAATGCAAAAATTAAACTATCCTATGCGCCCTTCGAGTTCCAATTCCGCTTGAATATTTGTTGTGGGGGGTTCTCCAAGCATCTCTTGATCACATACAATCATCTTGGGACTAAACACCTGAGTATGCTCAATAATACTCATTAGTCCCTTAACCCTATTCGTCATTAATCACCAAAACCCACTAGGGGGATAAATGCAACTTCAACACCAAGCTGTGAGATCGATTAGGTCGGGTGGTTGGGGTGGAACGTGAATCCTGTGGTGGAAAACTCCCCATACTTGATTGGAGAAGGAACACGCCACAAGTAGGTGATAGCATATCAACGGCTCCATCATGCAAAGGGGACAAACTAGCTAACTTGGCAATCCCCATCAATCTAGGTTGGCTGACATCAAGCAACTCTTCCATGTGGCAAGGTACATGAACATCTTACAGCGACCTAGAATCTTAGCCCCCCCAAATCAGCTCAGCGCAACCCACGAGGACTTTCCCCAAGAAGTACAGAATAGCTATCGTTAAATGTTAGCTTCAACATCGGAAACTTGATCCCACAACTGAAGATATTCTAGTAGTGTCCACATCAAAAGTCTGTCTTTAATTACACGCACCCACGTGTAATCGTCGAGAGCCGCTACCACCGTGTGCATGCTCCTTAGTACAAAAGAAAAGAGCACCTTTCTGAAACTCATTCTTCATACAACTAAGGGTGTGTTCGGGAGGGAGAGTTCGGAACTTCTCCTCCCTGCAAGGAAAATGAGATCGCTCATTAGCGCATGGTTAATTAAGTATGTCGGAGGAATGGAGATGCGGTCGCCATCTCCCCGGGTCCTCAGGGCTTTGACAAATTAAGTCAACAAGAGACATACAAGATCTACATCTACAAGAGACGTACAAGATTTACATATTCAAGAGATGTACAAGATTTATATCTTCAAGAGACTTATAAGATTACATCTTCAAGGCGTCTAGAAGAGTGAGGAAACATAAGAGATCTATATCTTCAAGGTGTTGAAGACGGGGCGTACCACTTAGCACGCCTCAATCAGGTTATATCCATCAAGAACTCCTTCAATCATTGACATCTTGGAGAAGCTTGTCCGAGTCAAGAAGAAAATCTATAAAACAGCGATGGAGTTGATGCGAGCGCCCTGGGCATGTTGGATGCCCCCGGCATGCACTATGTCCTGAAAACACGATAGTCCCTGGCACACCCCCTTGATTTGGGCATGCCACAAGCCCTGGGCTCATCACCGAGGGCTTTGCCTCCTGCCCTGGGCTCGCCCTGGGTTTCTCTGTATACCTAGGATGGCCTAGTGGTTTAACTGCAGCTAACCTCATGATTATCATTATAGGGGCTACCCGCATCTGCATCTTGGTGGTGGCACCGTATGTAGCCTCCTACATGCCACATCAACCAAAGGAGTAAGAGAGAGGCAGCGTGTCACGTCCTCAGGCGTCCACCGCCCAATATTCCATCAGCTGTCCCATGGGCTGACCCATGGGCTCATGATATAACTAGATGGAAACTTCTTCAAACTCAGCACCATCTAACAGTTGTGGGAGAACTGACACATTCGCCTGGCATGTCAGGAGGGACATTGACAAGACTAAGTATATCGATTTCGTTGGAGTGGGCCCTGCTTCTACATACATGTATTGGTATGGTGGACTCCCATTCGCCTGTAAAAGGAGGATCCATGCCAACGAATAAGGGGTTCGATTCCTTAGCAATTAGATCTCGTAAAAGTTAATTTCACAATTCTTAGTTAATCATATAATCATTATTCGCATATGTATTTAGCATATGATTAATATTTTAATATTAGCCCATACAATACACGGGTTGATGACTAGTAATCACAATGCAGCAAAATTTTTCCACAAAATCAATGAGGATGAAAGTGGTAAATGTTTAAATTAAAAACAAGTTATGGATGGATTAATTGTTAAAATAGAATTTTAAACTAAAATAGAATGATGCCCCGTCATTGCGTATTTTTTTTCTTACAATTCTAGCAAATGTTTCAACGGCAATAATTTGTTTCACATAGATTTCAGACTTGGACATAATATAATCCCTAATTAATCCAGACGACACTCCTATTAGTCTCTAGGTGATCAGGTACACAGAGATATCGGCGAAGGGCACCAAATCAGCATGGAGCAGCTTTTGCTAGTTGACAAGGGCGCATGTCCTCCGGATCTCCCCCTGGCTGCCGGTGAGCACGCCCACCCTGCCCATGTTCACCATTGACACGCCAAAGTCCCGGAGGAAGCTCTCCTCCGATCTCATGTACTCGTAGACGAGCCCCCTGGTAACGTCGTTCCGGAGCAGCGCCTCGTCGGAGTGGAACATGCCCTTCCGCTCGGCGACGAGGCCGTAGTAGGTGGCGTCGAAGGTGGTCGAGCTGCCGGGCACCATCTCCAGCTGGGTGGTGTTGTCCTTGGCCGACCTGCACTGCCGCCGCAGCCCCGCGGCGTACGTCGCATCCAGGGTCGGGTCCGTGTTGTGGTGCGCCGTGAAGTTGCGCAGACGCTTCGCTATCGATGGGCAGTGCGTGTTGCCCAGCGCGTGGGCGCCTGAAAGTTCAAAGTGTCATGCATAAGAATATAAACAAAGTTAAATAATCTTTAAGAATGCTAGGGTACACTGGTAGAGAAACCATCTTTGGTCGGTCGACCCATATCCACAATAGTCCCGGTTCCATTAAAAACCGGGACTAAAAATGATTTTTAGTCCCGGTTAATAAGAGGAAGATCTTTAGTCCCGGTTGTTGTTACCAACCGGGACTAAAAATCATCTTTACTCCCGGTTGGTAACTCCAACCGGGACTAAAGTTCATTTTTAGTCCCGGTTGATTCCATGTCAGGCTGTGTCAGGGCCCTATGATCTTTAGTCCCGGTTAGTAACACCAACCGGGACTAAAAACCTATTTTTAGTCCCGGTTGGTGTTACTAACCGAGAATAAAAATCAAAACACACTATATAATCCATAGTACCGATCCTCTTTTCCCGTCCACACAACAAACTCCTCCCTCTATCTCTTTTTTTCCTCTCTAACTTCTTATCTCTTTCCTTATCTCTAACTCCCCTCCTCTCCTTCCTTTTTTCCTTCACCACAGTGCAGGCGGTCGGCGCGGAGGCGGCGACGCGGGGGACGGCGCGGAGGCGGCCTGCGCGGCGGCCGGTGCGGCAGCGCGGGGGGCCGCGCGGCGGCGGCGGTGGGCGGCCGGCGCGGCGGCGCGGGAGGCCGCGCGGCGGTGCCGGGGGCCGCGCGGAGGCGGCGGCTGCGGTGGGCGGCCGCTCGGCGGCGACCGACGCGGCGCTGGCCGGCCGGCGCGGATGCGAGGAGGGGAGGCGGCAGTGGCCGCCGGCCGGATTTTTTTTCTTTTTTTTTTTGAGATGTGAATCTGTGATGTATTTTTGTGTGAGATGTGAATCTGTGATGAATTTTTTAGAACCCTGTGATGTAATTTTTTTAAGAGTTTGTGATGTATTTGGAGATGATTTGTTTGAGGATTTGGAGATGTTCTGTAATATGTGATGATTTGGATATGGGAGGGGATGGTGTGAAATCAATATTCAATATTAAAAGCAGAAAAAAAAAAGAAAAAATATCTTTAGTCCCGGTTGGTGTTATCAACCGGGACTAAAGATTCTTCCATCTTTAGTCCCGGTTGGTAACATCAACCGGGACTAAAGATTGATTTTTAGTCCCGGTTATTTGAACCGGGACTAAAGATAGCGATCTTTAGTCCCGGATTCGTAGTCCCGGTTGAAAAACCGGGACTACAGGGGGTTACGAACTAGGACTAAAAAGCATTTCTCCACCAGTGGTACTTTACGTCTGTACTGCAGCATTCTTTGATTTTTTATATTTTCTGCGTCTGATTTTCATTTTGGCAATTTTGAGACCGACCATATTCCGTTTATCCCCTTATTAGTAATTGATTATTCCTTGAAATGTGTGATGTTGTTCTATACTTTGAACAAATCGTAATAGTTTCTTTTTTTTTTTGAAATTACACAGTACAACACAGACACTCACAACGCACGTGCACTTACTCCTATGAACGTACGCACGTAAACCCTACCCCTATGAGCATCTTCGAAGACTAGGCCGGCGAATCCTTGATATTGACGAAGTCACCACAGGCGCCTCGCTGTCGACGGGTACGTCGCCTACCACTGAAAGCACAACACCGTTAAATCCTAGAAAATTCGCTCTCATAGAGAGTCGAACCTAGAACCTTAGATGCTACTGAGGCTCTCGTAAACACTAGGCTACAGACTACAGGCCCTTTCGCAAATCGTAATAGTTTCTCCTACACGCGACATCAATAGGCCAGTAGTAAAAGAGACATGTGACTTCATGCTCTACAGGCCCTTTCTCAAATCGTAATAGTTTCTCCTACACGCGACATCAATAGGCCAGTAGTAAAAGAGACATGTGACTTCATGCTCTGTCTGATACTAGCTTTGACGGTCGACATTGTCATACAAAACTACAATGGGTTTCAAGTAGGGCATCATATCGACCTCATGACAAAAATTACATATACATGGTTGTTATTCAAAATTTTTAACTGAACAGGGGGTTTAGACCTGAAATAATTCAATCAAAAATATTGGAAAGTAATTAAATACATATCACCAGTACTGACCACTTCGTTGTCAATTTGTTACATTTTGGAATATTTCACTCTTAGTATAGGCCCTATTCATGTTGCCAGACAACGGAGCAGCTGCAACCACTATGAGTACACAGGCACAAGTAAGCTACCTGACTGCTGCAGCCATTGCCGCAGAACTGGATGCCCAACAACCGCGTAAAAAACTACTCAATCCATTTTATATTATAAGACGTTTTGATTTTTTTAATCATTTTTCTAAAATTTAACTAAGTTTGTAGAGAAATATAGCAACATCTATAACACAAAATAAATTAGTTTTACTAAATTTAATATTGTATATATTACGATAATATGTTTGTTTTGGATTAAAAATATTGCTATATTTTTCTAAAAAAATTCAGTGGTGTGAAAACGGTATCATTATGTTTTCACTGAGATGATGTCATACTATCTCCTTTATATTTTTTTCCTTGCATATTTGTATAAGTAATGATTGGAAGTGCACGGGTGATATATCGGCAACTACATGTTGTCCTGAACAGGAAACTACTCATGGTCTAATTTTGCCACTATTGGAATGCTATCGTGGTGAATCCACTAGAATCTTTTAATGTTTTCACATGAAGCCAATTCAAAATTTTTACTATATATGTTATTTCAGACCGAGTATAGTTCTAATTTTTTTTTTCAAACTTCCAACTTTTTCATCACATCAAAACTTTCCTACACATACAAACTTCAAACTTTTCCGTCATATAGTTCCAATTTTAACGAAACTTCCAATTTTGACGTGAACTAAACATATCCTCAATATCTCATCAGGTGAAGTTTGAACACTTTTGGTCTGCAAGAAACTGTATGTGTGACGCCTGAAAGCTAGGCTGAATGGAGATTAAATATGTGGCTACGTACCTGACAGAACAGCCAGATCCTTGAGGCTGAGGCCCTTGGAAGCAAACCTGGTGATGAGCCTGCGAATTCCATCGAAGGAGTCGGGCAAGTAGGTCACCGCCTCCTTGGCGCTCGACACGCGGCCGTCTCGCCGGCCGGTCTCCACCTCGTACAAGTTGCCGTCCTTGCTCCACCGTCCTTGCCTCACCGCCTTTGTTGCCTAAGCACAAAGACTTGCATCTTAGAGTGATTTTACAGTTTCTGATAAGGTATTGAGAGTTACAATATTTTTTTAAGTGTAAAATGATCTCTCACGATATCTCCAGTACTAAAAGAGATCAAACTTTATATTAAAAATTATATTAAAATTGTGATAAAATTTTTCAACATATTAAGGTATGAGATGGAATTATTAATTAATAATCTTCATTAATTACTACTCCCTCCGTCCCAAAATAAGTCCAGTTTTATACTATTAATCTCCAACATTCGATTGTTCTTCTTATTTAAAAATATTTTATGATTAGTATTTTTTATTATTATTAGGTGATAAAACATACTCCATCGTTTCACAATGTAAGTCATTCTAGCATTTGTCATATTCATATTAATATTAATATATATTTAGATTCATTAACATCAATATAAATATAGGAAATATTAAAATGACTTACATTGGAAAGCGGAGGGTAAATACTAGTACTTTATGTGTGACTAATTTTTTTAATAAGACGGATGATTAAACATTAGACACGGATACTCACGACTATATTTATTTTAAAACGGAGGTACTAGTGATTACCAAGGAGACGGCGTCTCTGGCAGCAATGGCGAGGATGTCGGCGCAGGAGACGGTAGCGGGGCACTTGTGCTCCAGCTTCTCCTTGATTGCGTCGATGACGTCGTACGCGTCCAGCGTGTGATTCGGCTTGGCGTCCTTCTCCGCCGTGTTCTTCTTGGTCGAGTTGATCAGCACCGATCCTTCACACCCCTGTACGTTCATCGACCAATTCCATGGTAACATATCGATCAAACAATCATGGTCTTGAAAGAATGCTAATTTGCACATTTTAATTTGTACAGACCACTTCATCTACGGCATTGCGGATGTTTGTCTTGTGGAAAGAAAAAATTTGGCACTTGTCAGGGCTTGTGAGTGGATTACTAGTGTTTTTTTATGATTATTTTATACAGAAAGTTTCAGAGGGTCACCACTTTAGTTTGTGGACGACTGATGATGGACTGCATCTCATCATTTTAGACCGGCTTTGGATGCCATTTCACTCAAAAAGGCAATCAAACAGGATGCAGAAAAAAGGCCCATTTTGAAGGAATCTAGCTAACCCACATATCTTATCCTCTCCTCCTTTTTACTTTTTCACCTTCACTAGCTCACAGTTAAACCCTTTTTTTTTTTAGCTTTGAATAATGAAACCTTTGAATCAGTAGTAAAAGAGTAAAGATGACATTTGGACTTCAATCTATAAAAAGAAAATAACGAGACAAGTAGTAATAATGCATTTTAGTTTACCCTGACGAAACAATCGTGGAAGTGAAGCCTGAGCAGCGGCGCGGTGGTGGTCGGGTCGTCATGGACAGCCGCCGCCACCACCTTGCGCACTATCTTCTCCGCCTCCGGGCACGACTCCTTGTAGAACCCGACCGTCAGCCCACCGCCGCCGCCGTATCCATGGACGACGGGAACAGCCGCCGCCACCACCAGCAGCAGAGAAGAAAGCAAGAACCACCGGCGAGGAGGAGGAAGAAGCACGCGCACTGCCATGGCAGTACACTACACTACACTACGCTGCAGGTAGCTTAGCGCTCTAGCAATGCTTAAGTGCAGCTGGCTTGTCAGAGAGAAAACACTTGTTAAAAATGGAGTGCCGTGTGTGTGTTTGAGCAGGCAGCGAGTGAGTGGGACGTGTGCCTGTGTGTATGTATATAAAGGGCCAAGGAGTCGAGGAGTGTGTGTATATGTGTGGATGCCATCTACGGAGTACGAGATCTTGGGGAGTGTTATATAAATGGAGTTGCTGTTTCCCCGGCTGTCATGGGCATGATGCCATGTGATTAGGCGTGGGTTTCCGGGATTTTAGCACCGTGACAGCGTGGTAGAGATGTTATCTGAAATGTAATTAAACTCTAGCAGGGCGCGCGATCGACCTATGCTGATTAACCCAGTGCTAGTTGTTGCCATCAGAATATCCTGGTGATCGCGGATCAGATGCTGACAGACGGGCCAAATTACCCTCTCCGGGTTTTTCTTTTCTTTTGGATTTGCTAAAAAAAAAACCTTGACAGTTTCTCCCTCAAAACTTTCCGTTTGTGAAACCGTTAGATCGTGTGGAGATTTGTTTGAGGGAGTGAAGATTTTTTTTTTTTTGACATAGCTGCACAAGGCGGACTTTCGTACGAGAAGCCAGATTGCTAAGGGGCGATCGATTGCCCCAGCGATCATATTCGTATCGCCCTCTCCCTCCACCTGTTTTTTTTTTGGCACCACATTACTTTTTTATTTTAGTAAATTTATGTACCTAAAGTTTATACACCTCAAGTTTACACATCCAAAGTTTAGAAACCTAAAGTTTATAAATCAAAAGTTTATATATCCGATTCAAATTTGAATTTGAATTCAAATATTTTTTATATATAGTATTTCTATACATCTAAAGTTTATAGACCCAAAGTTTATAAGTCAAAAGTTTACATCCCCGATTCAAATTTGAATTTGAATTATATCCGATTCAAATTTGAATTTGAATTCAAATATTTTTTATATATGGTATTTCTATACATCTAATGTTTATACACCTAAAGTTTATAGACCCAAAGTTTATAAGTCAAAAGTTTACAAATCCGTTTCAAATTTGAATTTGAATTCAAATATTTTTTTATATAGTATTTCTATAAATAAATTTTTCAACTTTATATTTTTTATTGTTTTTTAAATTACGTAGTTCCTACGAGGTGATCTCGTAGTTCCTACGGGGTGGAGATAATTGGGGTGTAGTAGGAAGAGAAGAAGGGAAGGAGGAAGGGGGGAGAGGAGAGTATAGGGGTGGATGGGGATCGATCGCTTGGGGTCTTTTTTAAAAAAAAGACCACATAGGTTGTCTTTTTTAAAAAAAGACCACATAGGTGGTCTCATAGCATAACATAGCACATAGGCATGCTAGCCACCGTGCCTATGTGGTCTTTTTTATTTTATTCTATCTCTATTTTTTAAATATATGAAGCCATTAATTTTTTACAACCATTCGTCTTATTCAAATGAATAATATTTAAGTAAATATCTTTTCTTTTGTTGTGGCTTGATTTATCAATAAAGGAACTTTAAACATTACTTATATTTTTTTATATTTGCACAAATTTTTGAATAAGTTGAATGATCTAAGTTTGTAATAAAAGTCAACAATGCTATGTATTAAAAAAACATAGGGAGTAGTAATTTATATAAGTTAAGTATATCGCAGTGTAATTATAATGTACATCCTCCATTCAAAAGTCTTAAGGATATTTTATTTATTATTTTTCAAAATGAGATAGGTGTGTGTATATATAGTCTTCCTGCATCTAAGACTTACATAAAAATATTGTGTTTTTGTTTTGTAGTGCTAGATTAAATTATTGATTGGAAATCGAAACCCGAATAACCATCTTAATATTTAATACTCCTCATTGGTTTGCATGCAGGCGTATAATCCTTGGTACTTTTTTTTTCTCAATGAAAAAAGTAATATGCCTTAGATTTGGATGGAGGGAGTAATTGTCGAATGTTCTATGGCAACTATTTTTTTTCATATTGGTCATCTTTAACTTTTGGATAAGACTATTTATCTTATAAAAAACTAATCCCTTCGTTTTATATTATAAGTCACTTTTACTTTTTTTTTCCAAATCAAACATTTTTAAGTTTGATCAAATTTATAAAAAAATATATAAATATTTCCAACACAACACAATCAGATTATCAAAATGTATTAAATATTACTTTTAATAAAACTAATTTGGTGTTGTAGATGTCGCTAAATTTTTCTATAACATTGATTAAACTTAAAGAAATTTGAGAAGAAAAAAAATAAAACGACTTATAATATAAAAGGAGGGAGTATGTAATTATCATTTGTTTTGCCCTGATTTATTTTACCATTAAAGGCAATGTCTTATATATTTTTTTAATATTTGCACAAAATTTTACAAACTTGGTGTTTCATAATTTATTTTTATTTTATATATGAAAAAGTACTGATCAAAGCTTGGTACAACTCGATCATGAACTCAATGTGAAAAGTACGACCAGCGTGCGAACGAGAAGAGAGTACCACAACGGTAGCTGCGGTGAATGTTGCGCTGTGGGATATTCTGTTATAGTTAATCGTGTTTACTGCATTTCCTGCGGATTAATTAATTGGTTGATGATTGATTATTAAATTAGCTAGTCGTATAACAGAGCAGCCAGTCAGTAGTAGATGGAATTACGATGCGATCGGATTTCAAGCATACAGGACCCCAAGTGCGGACCACGTGGGGTCGGGGAGATTATTTGCTTTCTTTTCTATGCGGCCTGATGGCCCAATCTTCTGCCGTATGTCCTGGTTGATCTTATCTATAGCTTGCTAGTTTCATTAGCTTAGAGGCGACTTTGACCAAAGCTTTTACTCGCCAATCAGCCATACACTAATTAAGCTACTCTTGATATTACCCTTCAAATTAAGGATCAAGGCATGCATGTTCCGGTGTTCATTATGACAAGTACCACGGTGGGGTGTGTCACATGCATGTTTTGCAGCTGGAGATGTATAGAAAACCGTGTATTACTACTTGAGCGAGGTACAAAAGGTCACCGTCGTACGTCGGCAAGCTCGAGCGGCCTCAACTGTTATGCCCTCGGGTGGGTCGGCACACGGGCCAAACTCTTGCTGAAGTGCTTCTCCAAGTCATGCTCTACTGCCGACCGTGCTCGGCTGCTCGCCTTGCATTGTGCCCTCATTTCAGCCGCCACGCCTGCCGATATGGCGATATCTGCTACTGCTACTGGTACTGCTTTTATTTTCCTCCTTTGTCCTCTTGCTATTTATTTTTTGGTCATGGCTCACAATTCCTGCCGGTTAGGATTGTTTTCTACGCGCACCCTCTATTATAATAAAATAAATCAATATATATAATATTTTTAGATTCGCAATCATTTTAGTAGTTAGGAATTGATTTATTTTAAGCAAGAAGCAAGCAGGAACTATGATTGATCCTTAGAACTCATATGTGTTTGGTTTTATAGGATAGGATGGATCGAGCCCACTTTTGAGGGTATTTGGTGTGTCTATCATCTAAAAATAATATTCCTTTAAAATTTATGTTGGCATTTTTCCCAATCAAAGCTAGAGTTCTCTCGTGTTGATATGTGGGCCATGTCTTGAAAACTAGGACCATTACACCCCTCATGCCGAACTGATAGTTAGGATCATTCCATCCAAATACATGGATGAGTCTAACATATCCTATTTCATCCCGAAACCAAACACACACTAGAAGGAGAGGCAAAGCTTTTAAGGCTAATGGGGACTATAGCTTCTCTAGCTTTTGAAAATTAGAATAAAGTCCTTGTTATTATTTCATGACTCCAATGATATTGTAGTTTAGCTAGTTTGCTCTTCTTTTATACTTGATGTGATATACTCCAAATCAATACATGTAAATAGGAGTAGAGCCATTACCCATATCAAGTCCGAACCTGTATAAAATTTTTATCCCATGTCCTCTTTATTCCATATTCATGTATGCCATGTATACCTTGTTATCAGTAGTACCTTACGTCCCTAAATACTGTGGTCGAGTATAACCCGTTGAAAGTGATTAGCTAGATAGAGGGCCTGTACTCCAAGGTATTATCAAGATGACTTCGAGACACTGGCGGAGGGCTCGGTAGGGCGAGGTGTGGCGTTCGCCATACCTCGCGCCGCCCGCTAACCCCCCACCCCCTCATGTCACAGAGCGGCAACCGCCAGCCGGAAAGGACGCAGAGAGCGCGGCGACTCTGGAGGAAGACGAGCGATGACCGAGACACGTCGTGGGCGTGTCCGCGCGTGGCCGTGCTGGGCCTCTCGTTGGTAGCTAGTAGGCCCATTGTGTTCAGGCCTGCCAGTGGTTTCAAATCCACCTCGCACCTACACCAACCCAAAAGCAACTACACTAGCCCACCCAATCCAAACCAACCCACAAAATAATTTTCTAAACCCCACCCAACCCCACCTGCACATTCTATCCACCCGATCCAATCCAACCCGCAAGTTGTTCCCCACAGGCAACCCATGGATTCTACCCATGGCTAACCAAAACACACAAGCACACAACAGTTGGCTAACAAAAACACATAGTGACACAGCCACACAGTAACACAGGCACAACTGAAATTAGTCAGGAAATTTGTACAACACTTTGTCAATATTACACGAATAGTTAGTTTAACATGTAGAAGCATGCTACTTCCGCAGCTCAAATCAGTTAGCATGCAAGCCATGATCCTCTGATGTGATTGCTTGATGTGGTTATCCCCACAACCAAAAAGTGGTACTACTCTCTTGAAGCTCATCCATCTCAGGTGCTTTGATCTGTAATAGCATCAAGAGAGTAGAACCAAAAGGTTACAGTAAAGATTCAATAATACTGATACCACAAAATTTAAGTGTAAAATATCAACTTAGAGCTAAAATCCATCATACAAAAAACTACTACCTTTTCAGACCATCATACTTTAGAATAAGTTAGCGTACAAAAATAAATGATATGGCCACACATACAAGCATCAGCTACCAACTGCATTACAGTTTTCAAGTTAATTTGAGAATAATCATGCAAACTATAGAGACCAAGTTTTCTTACAAGCTAAGAAAGAAACAATGTTACTTTGTTAGTCTAGCTAGTAGTAGATAGGCAAAAAAATATACATTTAATTACCTTGTTTCTTCGGTTTAAATAACCAATCTTTAGCACAAACTAGTGCCTCAAGCATATCCGGTGTCAAGGAACTTCTTGTGTCTCCAAGTATCCTTCCTCCACAACTAAAAGCTGATTCCGAAGGCACAATGCTGAGTGGAATTGCTAGAAAATCCCAAGTCATAATTGCCAGTACAGGAAACCTTTTAGCATTTCTCTTCCACCAAGCCAAAACATCGAAATCTTTACTATCATCCTCACAAACTTCTTCTAGATATGTCTCAATCTCAGACTTATGTAATCGTGTTCGGTTTGACTTGAAAATAGCAAACTCTTGGTCAAGTTTTCTTTTGCCTAGAACTGGCGAGCCTACACCACTAGCTTCTCCTTGCCCAGAATGTGATAGGCAGGATACACCCCTTCTCCTTGCAATTCCTTCATATACTCTAAAGTAAGACTTCATCCACTCTATAACAGAATCCACTTTAGTTTCAGCTTCATTCATATTGGGAGACACCTTGGCATAAAAGAATTCCAAATAATCTCGTTTTCTTCTTGGATCTAAGACAGTGCTAATGACAAGTGCCAAATTAAAATTGTTTGGCAATTTTTCATCCCAATACTTAGCAAACTTCATATGCATAGCACTAGCCAATTGAGTCAAAATACTAGTTGTTTGCGAATCAAAATCACTTAAAGCATGGCGAATGCAGAGAACCAAGTGCAAGAATGAGTGTGCTGTTGGTTTCCTGTCAGCTGACACAAGTCTAGTAGCCTCTTCAAAGGCTTTAAGAAACTCACAAATTGATTCAGCAGTCAGCCACTCTTCGTCAGATGGTGCAACCTCACCATTTTCATTGGCATAACTATTAAGGACAGCTCTATAGACCAATGCTTCTAAAACCATTTTGAAAGTTGTGTTCCAACGGTTAGGTACATCAACAGTTAAACCAAATTTTGAACAAAGGCATGAACTGTTGGCAATTGAATTGAACGCTTGGATACGTGAGGCTGAATTTTCTATGTATTTCAAGAGCTCATGTATCTTATGTATTGCCCCACGAATTAACCTCATTCCATCTTGAACCAATAAATTGAGGATGTGTGCGCAGCACCTAACATGAAAATGTCTACCTTCAAATAACAACTCATTCTTCTGATTTTTCACCATTTCCTCACAAGCAGCCGTGTTATTACTAGCATTATCCAAAGTTAAAGTAAATAGTTTGCCCCTCAAGCCCCAATCAGTCAAACACCTCATCATGGCTTCTTCTATAGCAAAGCTAGTATGTGGATACTTCACAGGCTTCAAGCTTATGATTTTCTTTTTCAGACTGAATTCTGCATCAATATAATGTGCCGTGACAACCATATATCTTAAGTTTTGATTTGAGGTCCACATATCTGATGTTAGGCACACACGTGAATCAATATTTTGTAATTCATCATGCAGTTCTTGTTTCATCCTAATGTAACAGGTGTAAATCTTATCACGAATTGTTTGGCGACCAACAACTTTAAAGGTTGGTTGCATGGACTCCATCCACTCAGCAAAGTAAGGATCTTCGATTTTTCGAAATGGTATCTCGTCATGGATGAAAAATTTTATCATCAATTCTTCACTCCTTCTAGGATAAAACACAAAATTTTCCACGGGTTGTTTCCGAGCAATTGCTATGAACCTATTTCTAACTTCAACCTCAACTAGTGGACAAGAGTCGCAAACATGGTTTATGAGATGACTAGTTCCTGATTTTCTAGTTGCTGTCAACATTAACCGACAATATTTGCACTGTGCTTTGGGGACACCATCTACCATAACAAGCTCCTGCTCAAAATGTTCCCACACCTTTGCTCTTTTACGTGGTTGTAAAGATAATTCATGACTAGAACTATTGCCAGTTGAACTTTCTGAATTGTGTGTAGACATGTTTAATAAGCCTGCTTGTGACAATATTAAAAAATTAACATTCAATCTGCTACAAACAGCCAAATTAATATGAATCTAATTCAACCCATATTTGTAATCTTGTAGAATCTACTATCAATCTGAGGTATTTCCAAATCAGTATTACCAGGCATAAGTCATAAGTCCTGAAAAGGAGAGAATACTTGCTGGATCTTGAAGGGAGAGAGTATTGCTAGATCTTGTGGGGGCCGGGGCAGGGACACACGGCAACAGATCTTGCATGGAGGAGAGCAGCAGCTTCTTGGCGCCGACGGAGCGGAGATGGCGATCTGGCGGAGCGGTGCCGGGAGATGACGCCGGAGCGGAGGACGAGCGGGAGGCCGGGAGCCAGTGGAGCTGCAGCCGCTTGCAGCCAGGTCGAAGTGGCGAGCAGCAGCAACTTCTTGGCGCCGATGAAGAGGAGATCGTGATCTGGCGGAGGCGCGGAGCACGCCGGGAGATGACGCTGAAGCGGAGGACGAGCGGGAGCCGGTGGGGCCGCAGCCGTTTGCAGTGAGGACGGAGTGGTGAGGAGCAGCAGCAGCAGCGACGCCGTCGGTGGCAATGGTGGCAGCGGCGGCGGAGGAGGAGGAGCGGAGGACGCGAGGAGGAGGATGAGTTAGCGTGTGGATTCAGTCCATGGATTAGTCCCGTGGATTCAGTCCATGAATCAGTTATTTTACTCAGCCTGCATCCACCCCAAACCAATCCACATGTTTTGTAAGCCCAGTTCAATCCGGTCCAAAATGAAATCCCAGGCCGTTTCAATCCAACAAAAGGATCCAAATGAGGATCCAGCCCACTTAATCCAAACAAAGTCAGCCCACTGGCAGGCCGAATTGTGCTTGCTCTGTGTGACTGTAAATGTGGAACCCCATCTCCTCCACCTCCATCGCGCAGGCAGGGCAGCACGGAGGCCGGAGGGCACAACAGCAAAAGCAAGCCAAGCGCTCAACCAGCCATCACTCTAGCCACTCATTGCTATTTATCTTATCAACCTCAAATATACTATACTAATTAATCTTTGCTATTTGTTTTGCATATTCTACATATATCTAATATCTTTCCTCACTCACTAGTTCCTACATGTATGCAATGTATCGTTGAAAGTCTGAATTTTGAGGAGTTGAGGCATTTTTTAAGTATCTACTCTTCTATTTGTACTTGTTTGCAAATGGATGATGAATTGTGAACTTGTGATTAGGGCTTGTTATTAAGATAATGTTGTGTCGTACAACATCGTGCATTGAGATTGTTTTTTCCTATATTTTTGATATGTGCTAACTCTCGCTGCTGCCACACCTAAATTTTTTTTCATCCTCCGCCACTGCTTCGAGAGGAAGTTTTTTCCAATGAAGGCTTTTATGATCGCTCTGATCAGGGAGATACAACCCAATCGATGTTCACCCTCCTTTGGATCGGGCCCGTAACCTTCCAAGTCTACTCAGCATCGATGCTCCCGATCAATTATCCCACTGTTGGGAGGACCATGTCAGATCGACCCAATCAGCTTACTCTTGTCCCAAAAGTGGTGGTGTCCAATTCATAGGACATGGTACCACTCCTTCATTGAATGTAAGTTTTTTTCACAGGGTAGCAGCCAACAAGCCGTTGTTTTATATTCTGGTCGAGTTCAAGGTGTTTCTCAGATAGGTGCCAAGTAAACCACACCCTACCGAAGCTTTTGAGGGCCAGGAACTTTAGTTTAGTATTCTCACTACTACGAAAACCATTTTTCGTGGCGGCCATTTTGGATTTTTGCTGGCGGAATTTGCAGCCGCCACAAAGCAAAGACCAGTGAAAATCAAGATCTTCGCTAGCGGTTATTGACCACCAGCAAAAATCTATTTTCGCTGGCGTTGGCTTAAGCCAGCCGCCAGCAAAAATCCATTTTCGCTGGCGTTGGCTTAAGACGGCGCTGGCGGTTGTGTTAAATCGAAAATACCCATGCAGCTGCAGAGCCCGCCAGCAAAAATACACATGAAGCCCCATGTTTTGATTCATTAAATTTCAAAATTCAAATCCACATCTAGATGCTCATTTCCAAATTCAAACACGAATTTACACATCATTTACTCATCATCATCAGCACAGATCAAACATCATTTACACAGATCAAAACATGTGCATCATCTGGAACAACATGCAAAAAAAAAGAGAAAAAAAAATCAAATCCAGCCGCGGGAGCACGGTCGACGGCGTCGAGGTCGGTGCCGCCCTCCCCGTGGTCCAGCGGCGGCGGATCCGGCCTCCCGGTGGCCCGACGGCGGCGGATCGGGCCTCCCCACGGCACGGCGGCGGCGGATCCGCCCTCCCCGCGGCCTAGCGGTGGCGGATCCGCCCTCCCCGTGAGCAGCCGCCTACTCCCGAGCGCCGCCGCGTTCGCGCCCGAGTCGCCACTGCCCGCGCCCGAGCTCGCCGCCGCCTTCGCCGCGCACTCCATGTTGGGAGATAGGGAGCTGGAAGAGGAAGAGAAGAGGGTCGGAGCGGCGGTCATATGCGGCGGTGGAGCTGCGGTGATGGCAGCCGGCGGTGGTAGGGAGGCGACGAGCTGGCGCGGTGGAGAAGGGAGGGAGGAGAGACGGAGAGAGACGGGAAGGGAGGAGAGACGGGAGAGACGGTGGAAAAGGGATAAAGATGGGACTGGTGGGTGGGCGGTGGATTTTATTAGCCTCGAATTTTTTTTAGCGGTCTTTCTTACCTACCACCAGCGAAAACGTGATTTTTCGCTGGCGGACACTTAAGAGGTCCGCCTCAAAAAATAGAGTATTTTTCATGGCGAACCTCTTAGCGTGGCCGCTAGCAAAAATCGGTTTTCGCTGGTGGTCCATGGCCCCCCACCCCTCGATATGTTTTTGCTGGCGGTTTTCGCGTATGCCCGCAAGCGAAAATAATAGGCCAACGCCATGAAAAATCGTTTTTCTAGTAGTGTCTAGTGCTAAGTGGAGTAGAATAGAATAGCTCTCGTTGTCCTCGGAGTCTTTGGAGGAATTCGGGTATGGCTCTAGTAGCTTTTCTTATTTCTTTTGTAAGACTTTCGGAAGTAATGAAATGTTATTCTTTATATACTCTCGGTACTTTAGTTTATCTGAGTATCGGCCTTACTTTCTATTTGCATCGGTATAGTCGTGTAGTCAGCCTACCAGGGAGGTGCAGTGGTGTGGATTTAGTGTCCGGTTATTCGGTTGCTCTATGTCATCTTGGAGGATGTAGAGTAGTATTTAATAATGTAGACGTGGTGTCTAGATTATTAAGTATCATTATCTGGGCATATATGCTACAGGTCAGTCGAGGTGAGCCGCTGATGATGACAGCTCAGTACGGGCATTCCTCCACGATAGTATATATTCCTAAGAAACTTTCCTGGGGAGGGTACTCCTCCGTATTTAGCCCCGGTTGGACCATGACAGGTTGTCGTAAGGAACTCGGCAATCCGAAGTGGTCCCTCGAAGCACCAGGAGGGCACTGTTAGGGGGTATTGGCTACATGGTTGTATACTAATAGATGTAAACTAAGATTGAGTGTATACTATTATTATAAGAATTGATTGTTTTTCTATTTCTTCTTCCACATAGCTTAGGAATGATTAGTGAGAGATATGAGTTCTTTGCTTCGTGTCACTTTACCCTATAAATATATTAACCCATGCTTAGACTCTGATCATACAAGTGGCATATATACATTATTAGCATAGTTCTCTCTTACAATCTTCCCTTGGGATTAAATAAATACGATACTTTAGAATACTCTTGGGTGAAATGCTACAATGGTATATCCGTGCGCTTGCGGATTCTTTCTTTAACAATATATATTTCTTGTAATGTCATTCAGAAATATCAACAGGAATCGGTCTCCAGCCATCATCCATCCTTCATCAGCTAACTCCATAATTTCGCACCCAATGCGCACCATCTGATACAGCCTTTCTAGCCTTAACAAATGCAATATGAGATCCTAAAATCACGTCGTTGACTTCGCTCCATATTTTCCTTACTTAACGGAATATACAAAATTTTACAGTTAGCACTACCTTGTAGGATTTAAATTTAAACAAATTTTAACTGAAGTTAAATATATTTAGGAAAACTAAAAACTTGCCCCACATTGGGTAAATGACAATTACCCAAAAAAATGAAATTCAAAAACAAATATTGCCTTTTTTTTCTAAAAAGATATAAAATGTTTGTAATTTAAACAATTTACGAAATTTTTAAATTTTGTAAAATATATCTAAATTCAGCCAAAATAGTTTCAGATTTAAATCTTGCAAAGGGTGAAATCATCTTTTGCAATGTTTTTTTTCCATTAGAAGATAATATATTAAAACTATGGCCGAGTGTTTGTTAGTAAACAACTATAATATTAGGGTGTCATAAAGCAAATTTTGCATACAATTTTCTTTAACAAAGCCCTCACATGCAACAACATGGAAAGAAAAGAGGGTTAATTTGCATTTTTTTTAGCTTGTCATATGAACTCACATGGTGTTCAACTTGGCAGAAAAAAACAACATGAACAATTCACTTATTCAATTTACATGATTAGTGATTATATCACGCCAACCTCGCCAGTTATGGTATTAGTGTATTTTAATAATTATTTGTTTGAAATTCATTTTATGCAAAAAGTACTCCCCCAATATTAAGAATATAAGGCTTATTAGCTTTTTTTTACATTCTCTAATACTCCATCTGTTTCATATTATAAGTGGCTTATCTTCTTTTTTTCAAACTTTTCTGAGTTATAAAAATATAGTAACGTTTTGAATCCCAACAAACATACTATCAAAATATATTCAAAGTACGTTAGGTTCAATTAAATTATTTTGGTGTTATAAGAGTTGTTATCATTGTTTATAAACTTGATCAACTTGTAAAAATTTAACTTATAAAAAAACCACTGTGATTTATATATGAAACGGAGGGAGTATTATAATCGGGCCATTGATTTCTTTAGTAATGTACTAATATCAACAACTACGAAATTAAGATCATACGAAAACATTTTCTGAAATAAGAATACAATGATATTATGTGTGTGATACTAACACATACTATATTGTTATTAGTAGATTCTTAGGTGGCGTTTTCTAATTGAGTTACAGATTTTTCGTAGGTTTCTGTTAGGCTTTTCAGATGATTAAACGGTGTATTTCGTGCAAAAAATTTATATATAGAAGTTGTTTTAAAATATCAAGTAAACCTATTTTTCAAGTTTGTAATAATTAAAAGTTAATTAATCATAACCTAACTTCACCTTCCTCTTCATCCATCTCAAATTTTTTCAATGATGATTTTGCTGAAAACAAAGAGCGCCTTTACTGAAAACAAAGGGCATAGGTCAGATGTGCATAGGATCATCTTGTTTTCTATATAGCTCTATTAAAGCATGTTATTATAAGGGAAAAGAAAAGGGATGTTAACCGATATATTTTATTTTCGAGGGGAAAGGCAGGAGCTCTGCCAATTTCATTAAAAAAGGAGAGAAACAACGTACCTCAAGGGGTGCCACCCAAAGAAGGTACAATGCAGTCGCAAAAGATTTTCAGGAAATGTAAAGCTACAAGCATCAATAAGTGGTGCTAAATTATCTAAAGAATCTGAGCTTCATCAAGTCGTGTAGATGGTTAAACCATCAAGATTTCGCCTATTTTCTTTGATCATTTTTCTCCGACAAGCTTCCCACCATTCCATAATGTCCCCATTGGAAAGGGATGTCGTGGGCATATGAAGGCCTAGTTTTGACCAAATTTTGCTCCATACCTATCTAGCGAACGGGCAATCCATGAAGAGGTGTCTGGCTGTCTCCGGCTCAACTCCACAAAGGGAGCAAATTGGGCTATTGTCCCAACCCTGGAGCTGGAGCTTATCGGAGGTTAGGATTTTCCTTTGGACCATTAGCCAACCGAAAAATTTTCACTTGGTTTTCCATCTTTGCTTTCCAGATGTAGTTGAACCTCTCCTCCTGTATGCTCCCCAGGAATTGGATCCGGTAAGCCGAGTTTGCTGAGTAGATGCCAATTGGGATCCATCTCCAAGTTACTATGGTATCCGTTTGCTCCTCTAGATGTACCTGTTGGATTAGGTGCCAAAGAAGAATGAACTCTCTGACCTGGGTGGTTGTGTTCATCCTCTTCATCAGTCTCAACCAACAGTTGTCTTGTAACTCCTGTCCTATGCCACTGTCCTATTTTTCCTTGTCACGAGCTGAAAAAGAGATGGAGTCAATTCCTTGGGCGATTGCCCTTCCAGCCATCTGTCATGCCAAATTTAACTTTTCCCCATTTGTTAACCGATAGTAAATTTAATATGTTTTTGTCATTTGTAGATAACTAAATGCCCATGCTTTGCTATGGCTAAAAGGAAAAAAATAATAATATTGTTGCCTAAAATAAAAAAATATTTTTCATGAAATATTTTACCCACCTTTTAGATTTAGTTACTACATCTGTTTCATATTATAAGTTATTTTGATTTTTTTTCTTAGCCAAACTTCTTTAAGCTTGAACAAGCTTATAAAAAAATATAGCAATAATTTTAACACAACACAACTTATTTTTAATGAAACTAATTCGGTTTTGTTGATGTATTTTTTCTATAATCTTGATCAAACTTAAAGAAGCCTTACTAAAGAAAGACAAAATAACTTATAATATGAAACAAATGGAGTATGTCATGTTGAAAAGTATAAGGGGTAACATATAAAAACCAGAATGGAGTAGTGTCACTAGAATTTTTTGAATTGGAGTATAGATAATGAGACACAAACTTTTATACGGATTAAGTTCTTTGGAATAATTGTTGAAATAGATTTTTTCTAAAAAAAGAGAATCTCATGGGATATTAGGAAACAATACAAATTTAAATATTTTTTAACTCGTGGTATGGGAGTATGAGACAATGCTTGCTGCACCACGATATCTTTTTCATAAAACTTGATTGTTTTGAGGAAAAAGAAGTTCAATAGATAAAGTAAAAACGGGGCCTTGTAGCAGAAGTTCTTCTGGTGGCAAAAGCGGGCTTTCGGGACTTGTGCTGTGGATACTGTTGTGGGCTTTGGGATTTCATGCGGACTTGAGTCCAAATCCAGTCCGCCAATCGCATCCAGGGTCTCTCTCGTCGGCCTATCCCAACGAAATCTCTCCCAATCCCTCTCTTATCCCCTGAAAACCACTCACCGTCCATTTCCCCTCTCCCCACCTCCGCGTCTCCTCACCATGGCTTCCGCCTTCTCCCCCGCCACCGCCGCGCCCGCCGCGTCGCCGGCCCTCTTCTCCGCCTCCACCTCCCGGCCTCTCTCCCTCACCGCCGCCGCCGCTGCCGTCTCAGGTAACATCTCCTCTCCCTCTCCGCTTTTCCGTTTCCAAAAGCACCGCATTCGAATCCCCCAAGCCAGGACCTTGGCAATTTACTTACACTCGAGAGTGGTTTCTGCTGCGCAGCCCGTATCCCGTCACGGAGAGGGTTCCGCCGCGGCCGCTTCACCGTCTGCAATGTAGCCGCCCCCTCCGCCACCCAGCAGGTAACCCCACGCCCTCAAATCCCTTCGAGACTTGGGTGGATTGTTTCGCTCATGTCCAGCATCTTGGTGAAATGCGCGTAGGAGGCTAAGGCGGCGGGCGCGAAGGAGAGCCAACGGCCGGTGTATCCGTTCGCGGCGATCGTGGGGCAGGACGAGATGAAGCTGTGCCTGCTGCTCAACGTCATCGACCCTAAGATCGGCGGTGTCATGATCATGGGAGACCGTGGCACCGGCAAATCCACCACCGTCCGCTCGCTCGTCGACCTGCTCCCGGATATCCGCGTCGTTGTTGGCGACCCTTTCAATTCCGACCCTGACGATCCCGAGGTCATGGGCCCTGAGGTCCGGGAACGCGTGCTGGAGGGTGAGAAGCTTCCTGTTGTCACGGCCAAGATCACCATGGTAGATCTTCCCCTTGGTGCCACTGAGGATAGAGTCTGTGGCACCATTGATATTGAGAAGGCGCTCACCGATGGTGTCAAGGCGTTCGAGCCTGGTTTGCTTGCCAAGGCCAACAGGGGGATTCTTTATGTGGATGAGGTCAATTTGTTGGATGACCATCTAGTAGATGTGCTTCTGGATTCTGCTGCGTCAGGATGGAACACCGTGGAGAGAGAGGGTATCTCCATCTCCCACCCTGCTCGGTTCATCCTCATTGGGTCTGGTAACCCCGAGGAAGGGGAGCTCCGGCCACAGCTGCTTGACCGGTTTGGCATGCACGCGCAGGTTGGTACTGTCAGGGATGCTGAACTCAGGGTGAAAATTGTTGAAGAGAGAGCTCGGTTCGACAGGGATCCAAAGGCGTTCCGTGAGTCCTACTTGGAGGAACAAGACAAGCTCCAGCAGCAGATTTCATCTGCTCGGAGTAACCTTGGTGCTGTGCAGATTGACCATGATCTTCGTGTTAAGATTTCTAAAGTGTGTGCAGAGTTGAATGTTGATGGATTAAGAGGGGACATTGTGACTAACAGGGCTGCCAAGGCGTTGGCAGCACTCAAAGGCAGGGACACTGTCACTGTAGAGGACATTGCCACTGTTATCCCCAACTGCTTGAGGCATCGGCTTCGGAAGGACCCACTTGAATCAATTGACTCAGGATTGCTCGTGGTTGAGAAGTTTTATGAAGTCTTCACCTAAATTATTCTGGAGGTAAATGGTTTTCTATCAGAAAGTTCGGCAGGAGGGCTTTTGTTTGAGTTTAATGACATTGTTTCAGAGGCTTGAACTTGATGTCTATTTGTACATCTATCATTAGTATAGATTTTATTCCCCTTCAATCGAAATGCCTGCTATGAGTTGCAGACGGTTCGTACATTTGAATCTTCCTTGTAGTCATTGATGCAGCCAATGATTAGGAAAGGAGCATCTAAGTCAAGCTAACATCTTATATTTCTTTTTGAAAAAAAAAAAGAATCTTGCAGCATATATGAACAATCTTTGAACTAGTGTCCAGAGATAATGTCATGCCATAAATATTCTGCTGCTTTTGTCATTTCTCCTAGATGAAAGGTCCTAAAAATAGAAAATACAATGCTAGAAATCTTGAATGGATCTTTTGCCCAAGTAAGCTTCAATAGTAATTATCTGTTGGTATTTTAGGGAATTACATTCTGTGCTACTAGAAGTTTTCATCATCATTTTTACTCACTGTTTCAATGAAACAATGTACAATGGAGGTCCTGGACTCACTTGTCATTGGGTCAATGAGGAGTTTTGCAATTTCTTAGTGGCATATAATAAGAATAGCTGAATGCCCAGGTGTTGTGATTGAATAGAAAAATGAATTGAATGTCACTTTAACTATGTGCTTACATGTTTTTAATATTGGTAAAACATTAAACACGTCTTGTGCAAACATAAGGGTATAAGATAAAGGGTGCATCAGTCCATGGGAGCATATTTTCCTTTTTCTTGTACATATTTTCTTTGTACAAAAATACATGACAACGAAATGTTATTCTCCAAAATGATATATTATTATCTCAAATGATAACTGATCGAGTAAGATTATAAAATAATCTGTAATTGTGACAATTGATGGTACTAAAGAAATTCTTGACATTCCAAACTATGAAAAGAAGGTGAGTTCAGGTCTCTCTGACATTCTACATGCATAAAAAAAAGCACGCATTCATTTTGATTTATCAAATTATTGGTCACCTGTAATGCCTAAAAAATATAGTAACAAACTTCAGCAACTTGAGAAACTCTTTACAAATATGTTAATGAAAAGGACTCCTGGATATTGTAGGTTTATTTATCTCACCCAACAATAAACTCGAGAAACAGTTCCTTTTTGTGTTGAGTAATTAGATCAGTTAGTTACATGCATAGTGCGGATGCTGCTTTCATGAGGGTATAGGTACTGCAGAACACAAGTAGCATAACGAGCAATTTACTAAATCAAGTTGTATAAGAATGTAGTACCAAAATTCACAACTTTGAACTATGGACAAATGTTCAAGTTTGTCCACACGCTAATTACTTGAACTGTAGTTTTGCTGAAGACTGTTACTTATACTCTACACTAGTAATCGTGCACGTGCAAGGCACGTTTTGGCAATCTATGTACGAAGGTAGAACAATAGTAACTTTTTTAAGGCGATCCTTTTTTTTAATTGTGCACGTCCAATGCACGTCATGACATACATTAAACTTACATTCATTCGAAAATCAAATTCATAGTAGTATATAATCAAAAGCTAGGACTTTTTAATAAAATTATCAGTCAAGCATCATGTCCTACAAGTCAATAACATTATATATTTAAAAACAAAGGTAGTAATATTCATGCATCAAAGTGTGACTGCAATTTTGGATCTTTCATCAGGCCCCTTGATTGAGCAATGTACCAGTTAGACAGACTTAAGAGAAATAATTTTTTTCATGTTTAGTATAAAATTTCTTAGAATTTCTAACTGTTCCCTATGCGCCAAGTGGGCAACAAAGCTGAGGGGAATGTCTTGGTTAGGTATAATTTATTCGAAAATTGTAAATATAACCCCTTTCTCACTCCATGCCAAATTTTGCACAGAACAAAATGTAATGCCCTGCTAGGTTGCTATAGAGTACAACCACTTAACATTGGTAACACTTGATGAATTACAACAGCTAGACGATTATGAGGGTACAAAACACCATATGAGGAAAAAAGCATTAGTTTAACCTAAGATAATTTATTGTGCTAACCATCTTCCTCATGTATTGCCTTCCTCGAACTGAATCATGCATTATGCACTTTGTGAATTACTGCATTGATATCCTAGATCATTCATGCTCCGGATCTGAGCGATGGTCAATCGAATCACCATGGAAAAGCTGTTTTCATTTTATTTTTTTTTAATAATGAGTTTCCCTTCCATTTATGCCTATGAAGACATGGTCAGACTTAACTGTGCTGTAAAACAATTTTATCACTGCCCCATCTTGTTGTTGCCTTTTGCTCTTGAGCAGCAACTTGTATTTTATTTTTCAATCTCAAACCATTAAAGCCACAAATGGATCAATTTTGATTTAACAAAATTCATAGTAATTAAAGCTCCTTATGACATACCATCCTAGTGATATAAACTATTCGTTGTTCAATTTGGAACTGCACATATGTCAAATGAAGCTCGGATCCAAATTATAGCTATTGAAGCGGCAATCTTATGATAAGAAAGTGATCTAGCTAGCTGCATACAACTTCCAACCTGCAGTTAGGACTAAATAAATATGTAACCCTCTTTTCAATTTGGCAATTTAGAAAAAATATTAACTGGCATATGATGAACATCAAGAGTATCTCGACAATTCCAGATTTGCATCAAAGTGGACATGCATGAATGGAGGGATGGCAATATAAGTGAAAAAAAAAACAGTAGTTTTTTTTAAAATAAATTCAGTCACAACCCATCAATAGACTATCAGTAGCACAGTGCCGTGTAAAAATAAAGAATTGCAAATATGTACAAATATGTTCAAGTGCATAGCAGGGAAATGTTGGGCTAGTTGTTTATGCGCAATCAACACAATCTATTATAGATAGGTGTTCAGGAGTAAAGAAAAACTCTCATATTGTCTGCAATATATATATATATATATATATATATATATATATATATATATATATATATATATATATATATATATATATATATATATATATATATATATATCTTTGACTTGTAAGCAATACTGGTTTAGCTGCCAACTGGACCTGGAAAACGTAATCAAACTTTGGAGATAATTAGACAAAAAAGAATCAAATAGCATGCAAGCGTATAACAGTACCTAAGAAGCATTTTGTCGAACATTTGCTGCTCACGCAAGAGTGTGATGCAACATCTCGCACCAAAGGTTATTACCTTGTGTCTGTTGCTTGTTACCAGGATTGGGAAGAAATCGTGGTTAAGCCGTTTCAACAAACACCCTTGCAAGCACAGTTAATCAGTTTGTCTAGCAATCAAGAGACATGACATGCAATTCTGAACTTTCTTTTCATCCACAAATTCTTTCACTTCAGTTTCGTGCGAAACAATCATGGTAGACAAAACAACAAATTGAGTGAAAGGAAGATGGCAAAGTTTAACTCACCTACAACTGAGCAGCCCATTCTTCTGGCCGGTGCATCGGATCCGGTCGTCGATCTGGCTTGACTGGGGATTTCATCGGCACGGGGGATGCTTGACTAGTCGATCTGGTTGCGGCGTCGGCGGAGGCATGGTGTTGTGGTCCTGTGGGCAGGGCGACGGCGTTGGTTGCGGGCAGCGACGATGGTAACCCACCCTCAAGTGGCTCGCTGCGCCACCGGCGAGTTCCATAGCGATGCGGAGGCGGCGGCAACCGGGGCGCAGCTGAGCGGACGACTCCTCTCGTGAGTCGCGAGCTCTCCTTCGCGCTGGGACGGAGGAAACGGCATGGCAGATTGGTGGGTTGTCTGGGCACGGTACAAAGCTAGGAACGCGATTTGGGGAGGAAATAGCGGCCAGTGATGGAGCTGCGGTGTTTGCGCAGCGGGAGGATGCCCCATGCGAGGAGGTGTTCGGCGTCCGGGGATAGCGCGGCGCGGCAGCGGTGTAAACACGGGGCGGATTTCGCGGTGGTGGGGTGCGTCGAGGTTACGTGATTTCACGGTAGGATCGCCTGCTCGTAACCATTTGGAGCCATCGGATGAAAAGATGATTTCACCTAGTGGACTGACGGATGAGATGATGTCACCTGGCTGATCGATAGATGAGATGAGATGGGATGATTTGGCAGATAGGATTGGGAGGTACAACTCCTTTTTATATTAGTATAGATAATTGTAGCATTACCACATAATTTAATCGGTAAGTACCCTTATTTCCTCCTGTTACATCATTTTTTACTGAGTTTCCCCCTTGCCTTCTCATCATCGTGTGGTCTTTGACATGTTCAGTACAATTGGTGGATTGATTCATTCAGCTACTTCTGCTTCCTTTTGCACTAGCCTTTTATTTCAGTGAACTCTGGTTCTGTACAACAATTGCTGATCACAGTATTACTTATGAAAATAGGAAACATATGTTTTATATTAAAGCATCTATGTAGCAACAAGCAGGTGAAAACATCAGTTAAACATAGTTCAGGTGTAGTAGACTGAACACCTGCAAATCTATCTGTGCACCATAGCAAATTGACTGAATTGTGATTTGCCAGCACATTAGAATCACCCTTTCTTCAGTTGCTTTTACTGTCGAATGCTCGGTAACTAATCGCCATAAGAATTCACTGAAGCGTGTGTCCGACGTGATCAAACTACATGGACTACACCTTGGTGCAGACCCTGGCATCCTTGTACACCTTGCCGGGGCGACACACATAACCTTGCTCCGGCGCGCAGTGCGCGTCCTGCGAGCACACACACATCCCCTCCAGCGCGCAACCCGGCGCGTCCCTGGTCGGCGCACGGCCGCCAATGCCAAGCATCATGTCGCTCCAGTCGCTGGAGAAGAGGCCGTCGGGGTCATAGGCGTCCTTGATGCGGAGGAACTCGCCGATGCGCGGGTACTTACGGGCGGCGCCGACGAAGGCGAGGTTGCGGTTCTTGCCCCAGTGCGGCAGGCCGCCGTACTTGAACACCCCCATCTGCTCGATCTCCTCCAGGACATCCTCGAACAGCCGCGCCCTGTTGGGGTCGCGGCTGCGGTAGTACGTCATGTCGAAGTCCACCATGTCGTCCGACTGGCCGCCTCCTGCCGCCGGTTTCCCGAGGTGCGCGGTCGACGCCTTGACGTAGCGGATCAGGATTCCGTCGTAGAGCTCCACACCGCAGAGCGCTTTGGGGTTCATGTCACGGAGCCGCCGGACCTCCTCGACGAACGCCCCGGCACGGCTCACCGGCAGGCTGAAGGTGGTCTGGTGGAAGAAGCTGGAGCCCCTCACCCGGGGGTCCCACGGGCACGCCGTCAGGAGCGCGTCCTCCGGCCCGGTGATGCAGCCGCCGGACGCCTGCATCAGGTGCTGCGGGCCCACCACCGGGTACCCGGTGAACAGCCCGCCGCTCCGCCGCATCAGCCCGTACCCGGCCGACGAGAGCGCCGCGTGGGTGACCCTTGACGTCACGCACTTGCCGTTGCCGTTGCCCGCGCGCTCGAACAGCTCCTCCGCGAGGCGGTTAGTACGGATCAGAAGTCTCGGCGTGGCACGGAAGCCGATGAAGTCGAGGACGCCCTCGCCGGAGGCGTTCATCGGCAGCCGGTCGTCCACGCGGTACACCGCTCGCCCGATGCCCGGGTACCAGGCGATGTCGGCGAACTCGTGCTGGTAGCCGAACTTGGTCACCTGGTCCGCCAGGTCGTCGTCGTCGCGCTCCATGAACGTCACAGAACGCTTGAACAGAGGTTGCAGCGCCAGAGTCACCTGCACTAATCCCATGGCTGTGCATTACTTGGTTTGTGCAACGGATCAAATTTTAGAGGGAAAGAAAGGAAATAAGATGGTTTCAAAATTAAATTTATCCCAAAAAAAACTTTCTAAATTCCCCCTTTTTAATCACTATTTAGTATTTACTCGGTCCCTCCTTTTGGCCTTGCCGGATCTTAAAGAAAAAGTAAGAGGAACTGAAAGCACAAATTTATAATGAAGGACAGGATGCAAGATGCATCATGACAGCATGTGAAGAAATGAGAATAAATTCTTTGTAGCCCAAACAACTCCAAAAGAACTAAAGTGGAAAAGATTGTGATAATTACACTAAAGCTGGTTATTTTGTACTCCAAGTATCATATTTTGTACTCCAAGTATCACACAATCCCGGCAGATCGACTACGTACTCATTAAAAAGCGATGTACTAATTCGTGGAAGTACTTGTACGTAATAAGAAATGAGCAATCTGTCACACTGTATAGGAGTGACTCTGATGAATCAATTGTTTAGATCTCAAGTTTCAGGTAAAAGGAGTGTTTGCTAACACATATCCCGCTAGATTTGCATGTTAATTGAATAAACATGTGTCACGAGATAATATTTTTTTAAACTAAAAGATGACCGCGTTGGCCTATATTTTTTTTTGGATGGACATAATTAAAGGAGGAAAAATTTTAAGACCAGAAAATTCAACGAATAGTAATTCCTCTATTTCACATTATAAGACGCTTTGGGTTTTGATATATTCATGTGTCTATGTATATGTTTTATATATGTGTTTAAATTCTTATAAATGTTAGTGAATCCAGACGAAAGATAAAGATGTCAAAACACCTTATGACGTGGACTGAACGAAGGGAGTTAGCCTGATTATCACTATGTAAGTGCCGTTAATTCTAATTATATAAACAAACCAAACTATTACATCATATTCACTTGTATGTCCAAGGGTAACATCAACTGTAGTTTGATCCTTTTGTATATCATCGTTTGTCAATCGTAGACAAAAATTAATTCTATGTTAGAGTTGATTTTGAGTTTTTTTTGACATAATTCAAACCACTAATCATACACATACATTTTGCCCATAATTGTTTTTTTTTACTTGCATATAAGTAATTAATTGTTGTTTCTACTGGATCGGTCAATAGGAAACGGCCCCTGTACCAGCTGGAGTGCTTATATGGTACTACCCCTTTTTATTAGCGTCTCTACCAGACTAGCGATGTACCCTGTAGGCTGAAAACCTTCAGAAAACGTGTTAAGTTTTAGTGCATTTTCTTCAGACGTTTTTATCTCCTATCACCAAGTTGTCCCACAAATTAATACTGCATATTATTAATAAGAATTGTAAAAAAAATCATATCAGTGATCAACCCATTTCGATACAATGGTTGATGTAAAACCAAAATGAAATTGTCAGTCTTTAGTCACAAAAGGTTTTAGAAAAATAGACGAAGAGGCTGCAATTTTTTGTGGCGAAGAGCACTTCAAAAAAAAAAAGGGGGGGGGGAGGATAATCAATATATTTTCAATAATGCCAGGAAGAAACAGAAACAACCTATAATTAACTTAGCTAAAATGTTTCGTCGTCTTGTTCAATACTAGTCCTACATATAGCTACATATAACTTAAACGTACGCATACAGTGGAGCATACCTAGATACCTTACCTGAGAAATGACTCCTAGGACGCCTAGGGAGACCTTGGCGGCGTCAAGCTCCGGGTCGGCCGCGGTGAGCACCCGCACCTTGGCGTACCCGTCGGCGGCGGGCGCCGGCGTGACGATGCGCATCCCGACCACGTACTCGTGCACGGCGCTGCCTTTCCCCCACAGCGAGCTGCCGTGCGCGCCCGTGCCGAGCATGCCGCCCACGGTGAGCCCCCACCAGTAGGGCGCGTACGGCAGCGCCATCCCGGCCTTGCCCGCCTCGGCGATGAGCTCCCGCAGCGATATGCCGCTCTCCACCGTCACCTCCATCCTGCCGGCGTCGACGGCCACCACGCGGTTGAGCCGCCTAGTGCTGATGACGAGGCCCTCGCCGTCGCCGTCGCCGGGGCAGGCCAGCTGCGGGATGCTGTGGGAGTACCTGGTGGCCACCTTCATCTTGGTCCCGGACGCTGTCGCGTTGGCCACGGCCCGGACCAGCTCCTCCTCCGTAGAAGGATACACGGCGGCGGCCGCGCGGCACGTCGACCGGTCCGGGAAGACGCCGTACGCGCTCGACACGGTGCAGTCGGCCGTGCCGCTGCCGGACGAGCACTGCACCGGGTCCGGTGGGGGGCTCGCGGCGGCCGGCGCCTCAGCCGCAGGCCACGCCAATGCCACGACGAGGACGAGCGGCAGCAACCGCACGAGAGTGATCATCATCTTGTTGTGCTCGAGGCTCATTCTAATTAAGCGACGGCAGCTGCAGCCACTACATATATATGTTGCAATCAACCATTGGTAGCAAGCAAAGCAGCTTGCTTCCACGCCTATATACTCCCTCCGCATTATAATATATGACACCGTTTACTTTTTACCAATATTTGACTACTCATCTTATTCAAAATTTTTATGCAAATATAAAAATACTTATGTCATGCTTAAAGAATATTTGATGATAAATCAAGTTGCAATAAAATAAATTATAATTATATAATTTTTTTAAATAAGACGAAAGGTCAAACATTTGTCGAAAAATCAACGGCGTCATAAATTAAAATAGACTGATGGAATTTAATTTTTGTGTGATGAACTAGCGGCCGTTCTAGCTAGTGACAGCGGGAATTGATGATAAATATATACTCCATATATATGCCCAAGCATCAAATTTGCCTATAAAAAACATGTACTTCATTTTTTTTTTACAGAATCTGCATGCATGTGCACCAAAGTAAGTAAAGCATGCAAGCCAGATTGCGATATATACGAGTATATGACCAAGATTTGATAACTCGTAGGAGTGCAACAAAACATAGCGTGTGGTGAGGAGCTTGCTCTACAGAAACTAGCCTGGTACTAGCAAATTGAAGTAGAGGAAAGCTTGAAGCATTATCTTCTTCTGCTCATGTGGTCTATAACTAGTCAGGTGTCAGGATGTCCGTTACAAGCTTGCAATAAACTGCTTGGCGCATCTACTTCATATTTGGGGTTGCCACTTTTAGATTTATCAATTAACTATTTGCCACACCTATCTCAGTGACATGTGGGTCCACATGTGTTTATGACATGTGAGTCCAGTGGCAAATAGTTAATTGCCACATCTAAGAGTGGCATATAGTTCAATATCTCTCATATTTGTGTCTACGCGCGTACTTCTTCTTCCAACTGGGATCGACGTTATCTCTTATATACGAAATGCCATTTAAACTTTCTATAAACGCTTATAAGCCATCACACACTGGTGGAGAAACCATCTTTGGTTGGTCGACCCAAATCTACAATAGTTCCGGTTGGACAAAAAAGATTTTTAAGTCCCGGTTTATAAGAACAACATGACTAGATGATTTTTATTCCCGGTTGATAACAGCAACCGGGACTAAAGATGATTTTTAGTCCCGATTGGTTCCATGTCAGACCTTGTTAGGCGCCTAGGATCTTTAGTCCCGGTTTGTAACATCAACCGGGACTAAAGATCTAACTTTAGTCCCGGTTGGTGTTACTAACCGGGAATAAAAATCAACACGTACTGTATAATCCCTATTACTTATCTTCTTCTCTCATCCACACAACAAACTCTCTCTATCTCTTTTTTTCCTCTCTAACTCCCTATCTCTTTCCTGCCTTATCTCTTTCTTTTTTGGATAAGCGGCGCTGGATCGAGCGCATGAGCGGGCCGGCCGGGCGACGGCCGGCGCGGCGGTGCGGAGAGCTGTGCGGCGGCGGGCGGCGCGGTTGCGGGTGGCGGCGCGCAGGCCGCGCGGTGGGGTGGTGGCCGGCGCGGCGGCGGCTTGCGCGGCAGCGGCGGGCGGCGCGGCGGCGGGCAGCCCCGCAGAGGGCCGCGCGGCGGGGTCTGGCCGGCGCGGAGAGGAGGCGGCAGCGGCCGGCCGGCAGGCGCCTATGTGTTTTTTTAAAAAATTTGTGATTTATTGCATGATCTATGATGTATTTGATTTGTGTGTGATGTGAACTTGTGATGTATTTGCGATGAATTTTGTAGAACTTGTGATGTAATTTGATTTATGTGTAATTTTTTTAGGATTTGTGATGTATTTGATTTGTGTGTATAAGTAACTTTAAGATTTGTGATGTGGATTTGGGATGTTACTTTGATTTGGGATTTGGAGATATGCATGCCACTTGATTCGGGAGAAAATAAAAAAGAAAAAAAAGGAAGAAAGGGGACCATCTGGACTGCTGTTATCCCCTCTTTAGTCCCGGTTGGTAACACCAACCGGGAATAAAGATAGGGATCTTTAGTCCCGGTTATTTCGTTCGGGACTAAAGATAGCGATCTTTAGTCCCGGATTCATAGTTAGGGGGTTACGAACTGGGAGGAAAGATGGTTTCTCCACCAGTGACATGTACTTGTACAAACGTTCGTAGATCGTCATGTGGCGTTCTAATAAATTTGAGAAAATACTAAAAATACTAAGAAAGAAAGAAAAACATTCGATCGTTGATTTTCTCTTAGAGCCCCTTTGATTTGGTGGAAAAACATAGAAATTTTGGAGAATTTAAATCCTATAGGAAAAATTCCAATGAATGCTTTTGAATCAAAGAATTGAATCCTATCCAATCCTTTGAAATTCCTATAGAATGGACAATCCTATAGAGATTTTGGAGGAAATTTAGCAAGAGCTCTATCCTCTTGGAAAATTTCCTTTGAGTCTATCTCTTTTATCCGATTCCTGTATTTTTTTCCTACAGTCCAATTAAACGATCATTGCTGTGTTTTTTTATGTTTTGCAATCCTTTGTTTTATACTTCAATTCCTGTCAAAATCCTGTGTAGATCCTCCCTTCCAAATTGTCGTCGCTCGTATATTCTCATGCCACAAACCCCAGATCGGTCATATGAATAGTAATAGACGAGAAGCCATGGATTTCACTCATATAAGCCATTCCCTATATGATACGACCGTCGCATCCTGACTCATAGTGTTCAACACATCATTGGACAGTGATGGTCTTCATATCTTGATCGTGTTTTACGGCGACTAGTTTTCTTTAGTAGATTTAAGATGAGGAAGATGAGTTCGGTGCAATGCTGTGTCGCTGATAAAAAAGATGTGTTTGGGATATATTCATAGAGGAATGCGCTATGTCATACAACATATAAGGAAAGAGGGCAAAATAAAAACACGCAGACAACGGGAATTGGGGAGGAACTGACATAGCTAAATTTATTATATCAAAATCTTAATTATATTGCACATAAGTATTCGCTTTGTTTTGTACTATAAGGCACATTTTGTTTCGTTAGGATTAAGGTTTCGACTCATAGTTACTTTACTAACATAATACAAAAGTATAATGATAATACAGATCTAATAACATCGATTTTCTATTGAGAAAGCAATCTTATGTTATCCTTATCTATTATATCTATCTATCTATCTATTATATACTAAAAGTCTAATGAAACTTTCTACAAACACTCTCAAGTCGTCACGTGGTGCTCCTAAAAACGCTCCTAAGTCGCCACGTGGCGCATTGATAAATCCTAAAAATTCTTAGGAAAAAACAAAACATCTAACCGTTATTTTCATTTAATCGGGTAGACCCATTATTTTCAACTATTTTACAAAATTACCAAATCAACCACCGTTAGATCTATCTTACGAGTACAAAATTACCAAATCAATTTATCTCTCTTAAATTATCCCTCGGTCCGTGTACCTGTACAGCATGTACGTTTGTACGTACGTATCATCCCACCGTACTTCTTTTTCTATTTTTTTCTTTCTTATTTAGATTAGATGAAAAACGAAAATAAATAATTCAAGTCCATTCACAACCATTGATTTTCCATAAAACATGGTGGACTAATTAGATTTTTGTTATTAAAAAATTGAAAGGTCCACGTGTGCCACGTCCTCTCTTCCATCATGTACGTCCGTACTTAGTACATACATGTATATATCGGTCCCTCTACCCATTCGGTTCCCTCTCTCTATGATGTATTATTAGCAATCAAATCGTATTCACAATGGTTGTGTAGAGCCTCACACACTATATACTACATCCGTCCCATAAAAATTAAATTTTTACCTTCGAACCTTTTCCCATAAAAGTTATATTTCTGCTAATGTGGGACCCAGTAAACTGATTATATTTCCTTGTAATCTTCTTTCTTTCCATCTCATCTCTAACCTATTCTCTTTAACATTCCTTTTAATCAAGTTTATACATGGAATGTGTATATGTACTGTGTTCATTAAATAGGGTTATTGAAGTCATTTGTCTATCGTCCTAATATGTCCTTAATTCCCTAGAAATTCAATTTTTATGGGACGGAGGTAGTATGAAATGTTCCCAAATGAATTATCTATCATATAATGCAAATATTTTGGAGTATACAAACCCATCAATTTACCATAGCCTTATGTCCCATATAATCTATTTATTAATAAATAATGAGAATCTATACCAATCTTACTTGCTTATTGATAGTTTTTTTTTAAAAAAAAAGTTGCACATAGGGTGTAATGATGTCACTATTTGTCATATCATGCATTTGAACTTAAAATAATATTTGTATAAAATAAAACAAAAGTGTAAAATGAACCAATTCTAGAAAACCTTATAATTTCTTAGAACCATTGTGGTTCATAACTTTCCCTTAAATTGAGACAACCATGCATAACCACTTCATCATTTTAAGTGACTACATATCAATAGACTTCTCTCTGTTCTATGCCATAGCAGAAGATAGTTGGCTTTGAATATTATATTTCTTACTATTAAATTTGGGTTTTAACACTCGGGTTTGACTAAATGTATTTAAACAAATATATAGATCACACATATTATAGGAAGCGAGGTCTAGAATATATCTACTCTATATTTTTATTGATTCATACATAAGTACGTATAACAAATTGCATCAAATGTGAACCAATTAAAAGAAGGAATAAAACACATTTATTATAAATAACCTTTTTGAGATTTTTTTTAAATAAGAGCCCAAAACATTTAATTAAAAAGAAAAACAACACCTTACTTTAATTTGGATTTAAAGACCCACGTCTTCTTAAATGATGAAGATGATTAACTTTATAGATAGGTGCTTATATAGATAAATCAAATATTACATATTGTAAACTAACAAATATCTTAAAAGAAACATTTAAGCTATGATTCAGGAATGCCCGCGCGAATGCGCGGGCTACCATCCTAGTTATTAAAACAGCCTTGAAAGAAGGCACCACGTTCGCTGTGGAGGCTAGAAATTTTCACATTAATTGGAGAAAAAGAAAAGAAGAGTTAAAGTAGAATACAACTTAGACAT